CCTCACAACACCCACAGACTGCAGTGTTAAATGACTGATAGATATTCGATGCAAATTTGCTAAAACAAAAAAGTGGATTTTTGTTTGTCAAAAAGGACACTTCATCGATGTGATAATTTAGTCCTTGGTGATTTCAGGTTGGTGTATCGGTAATTTCAATGTGAAGTATTGCTGATTTCAGTGTTAAGGGTGTGAAAGGTGGAATTTATCCTCTCTGGTGGGTTAAAACAGCTTCTGGTCTACAACAAGTAGAACATTTCTCTCAAGGAAAGAAAAAGCATTTTATTTGATTTTGAATGGGAAGAACATAATAGATCTAAGCATTTGAAAGACTGGATTTCTGAATTTTGAAAGACTGGATTTCCAAATTTTGAATGGCATGGTAACTTAGTTTTTTTACTTAATTATGACCCCAAATCCAAGTTCCTGCAGATGATACAGATTCCTAGGACAAAATAGTATCATCAGTTTGAATTGCATAGATTCTGAATTGGCTGTATACAGAAGGCATGTTTTCCTTTTGTATTGTTTTAGTGATTCTTATGATTCTATATGATCTTATATGTTAAGTACATCAAGTTCTCAGATTAGCCGATAGACTTGGAATAATAATAAAGGGACAATATAGTGGGGTTGGGGAGAGGAGAAAGATGAATAGGATATGCACACAGCTCTTTCTCTGTTTCCTCCTTATCCTTTGTTCCTCATCTCCTTTTGATGTAGAATTAAGAGGGAAAGTTATCAGGCTGGACAATTTTGAATCGTAGAAAACACGTTTGCAATATTCTGAAGTAATGCTGCTACATTTACTCAATTTTTAGCAGTCTGTTAGGACCCTAGGCATATTTGCTAAAATTGACTCCGTGTCAGTAACCTCCCGCTCTGAGCTTCCATCCATCTCTAGACCTCCCAACTCTTCTAATTTTTATTAATTCATGAGCAATTAAAAGAAATTCCTTCTGTGTCTGAACATTTGCCAGTTCCTGAAATAAGATTGTAAACAAGAATAGAGCCCCTACATTCTTGAAGCATATAATCTAGTCAGTGGATAAAAACAAATAGGTATCAATTGGGAGCGATAATGTAACTAGCGGGGTAAATAGAGAGTGCTGTCTGTAAGGGGGAACCTAACCTGGTCTGGATATTTAGGAAGAGCTTACAAGAAAAGGTGATTTATTTCTTCAGGCCTTCTTGCTGTCTCCTATATTCTAAAGTTGACTTCTTAGAAGAAACCCTGCTCCATAATATTTCCCTTCTCTATTCCTTCCCCATCCAAAACTAGTTTGCTTGTTTGTTAAAACAAAACAAAATTTAGACAAAGACATAAATGAGGATTGATCCTTTTAAGGAGCATTTGCATTAATGATAGGAGTTTAACATAAAAGTGTTTTTAATTGATGGCATGGATAGATGAGTAATATATTCCTGAGCAGGAAAATCCAAGGGCATTGTAGCCCTAATCATAATAAAATACTATGAGTCCTTATTTGTATCAGGCATTAAGCTAAATACTTAATATATATTATATACAAGTGAAATACACAAACGTAGAGCACGAACGGGGTGGGGGAGGGCAGAAGGAAAGGGAGAGAAAATCTTGAGCAGTTCTCCGCAGAATGTGGACCCGACGTGGGGCTTGGTCTCACAACCCCGAGATCATGACCTGAGCCAAAACCAAGAGTTGGACGCTCAACTCACTGAGCCACCCAGTTGCCCCAAAACGTAACAAACTCTTAATGCCAACTACTCCTCTCCCTCATTTTTTACAAGCATCCTATTCTCTACAGGGATCAGAAAAACAGTCTGTTTAAGAAGCCCAGTGGCTTAGCACAGCAAACCCCAACATAGAAATGTTTAATTCACTGATTTTCATTCAGCTCTTAGGAGGTGGGATGGGAGAACTGGGGAACATGGATATAGTATGAGAAAAATATTGTGTTGCAGTTGTCTTGATTTTTATTTTGAAGTCACAATAATTTATTTATTTTGAAATTTTAAAGAATTGTAAAGGAGATCATCAAATGTTTATGTTTCCAAAATCGGGCATGGATTTTATTTTTTTTATTTATTTTTTAATTTTATTTTAAAGATTTTATTTATTTGAGAGAGAGAATGAGAGAGAGAGAGCACATGAGAGGGGGGGGGGTCAGAGGGAGAAGCAGACTCCCCGCTGAGCAGGGAGCCCGATGCGGGACTTGATCTTGGGACTCCAGGATCATGACCTGAGCCGAAGGCAGTCGCTTAACCAACTGAGCCACCCAGGCGCCCCAATCGGGCATGGATTTTAAAAGATTCTGGTAAAACATTGTCCTTATTCTATTCTGAAGGTCTCTATTTCTTATATTTATTGTATTACATAGTAGAAATTAATAAAGAATGCTTTTTCCTTGATTTTATGTATTTATACCCATTCTAGTTATAGTTTTTCCCAAATACTTGAAGGATGCAACATTATGTCAAAGATTGAATTCTGATAGGTTATCTTTCCTCTGCCCCCATTACAATTTACTATTTTGTGGGAGTGGTGCATTTGTTAATTCAAATACTGTTTGGTGTGTAGTAGTCTCTAGAATTGAGGGCTAACAAATTTTGATGTGGCAAATCATCTTTCTTGAGGTACAATTTACATAAAATAAGATGTCCTTTTAAATGTACAGTTGGATGAGTTTTGACAAAGGAATACATTCATGTAACCATTACCTTAATTAAGATATAGAACATTTCCATCACCCCAGAGAGTTCCTTCATTTCTCTTTGTGGTCATGCTCACCCTTCCTCTCCACTGTGGAACCACTAATCTGCTTTTAGTTACTATCCTTTAGTTTTGCCTGCTCTCCACTGGAATCATATAGTATGTACTCTCTTTTGTGTCTGCTTTCTTTTGCTTAGCATGATGTTTTTTGTGATTTCATCCATGTTTGTTGCATGTATGAGTTATTACTTTTTTTCCTCGCTAAGTAGTACTTTATTATAATGGATAAACAGCAGTTTGTTTATCCATTCATCTGTTGATAGATGTTAGAGTCGTTTCTAGTTTTTGGCTCTTGGGAACAAAACTACCATGACTGTTTGTATACCAGTCTTTATGTGGACATGAGTTTTCATTTCTCTTGGAAATTGCTGGGTCATATGTAAATGTGTACTTACCTTTATAAGAATTTTCTAAACTGTTTTCCAAAGTGTTTGTACCATTTTACACTCCCACCAGCAATGCATGAGAGTTCTAGTTGCTCGACATCCTTCTCAACATTTGGTAATATCAGTCTTTTTATTTTTAGCCAATCAAGTTGGTGAACAATGGTATCTCATTGTGGTTTTAGTTTGCATTTTCCTGATGACTGCGAATATTGAGCACCTTTACATGTGCCTTTTGGCCATTGGGGTATCTTTCTTTGTGCTGCGTTTATTCAAATCTTTTGTTTTATTTTGTTTTAAAGTAATCTTTACGCCCAACACGCAGCTTGAACTCACAACCCCAAGATCAGGAGTCGCACACTCTACTGACTAAGCCAGCCAAATGCCCCGAAATCTTTTGTTCTTTTTAAAATGTGTCCCCCATTATTGAACTGTAGAGTTGTTCTTTTTTAAATATAATCTGAATACAAGTCCTTTATCAGATATTTGTATTATGAATATTTTCTCCCACTCTGTGCCTTGCCTTTTCATCTTCTTATCCGTGTCTTTAGAAGAACAGATATTTAAAATTTTGAGTCCAGTTTCCTGGTTTTTTTCTTTTATGGTTGGTGCATTTTGCATCCTAAAAGATGTCTGCCTACCCTAAGGTCTTGATGATTTTCTCCTGTATTTTCTTATAAAAAGTTGTAGCCTTTGTGTTTAGGTACATGATTTGCTTTAAGTTAATTTTTTGTTTAAGGTTATGAGTAAGTTCATGGTTCGTGTTTTCTGTACTGTGATCCACTTATTCCGGGCTTTCATTTGTAGTAGGCTCACATACTTGTGACATTTCATTAACAGCAAGAAATATATGTATTCATTAATATGCAGTCTTTAACATATCCTTTGTTTTGTACATCAGACTTACTTAAAAGGTCATGCTCTTTGTGTAAAAATCCTTATTTTGAAGAAATTTTTATTTTCCAACCATCAGTATACTTGCATTATTTTACATTTCATGTATTGATTTTTGGTGAAACAATTAGATTCTGCAAAGCTGAAAGTATTAAATCTCTGGCTAACACAGAGTTCAGGATCTTCAAATCCTGATCTGTGATCAAACAGCCCTAGGTACTAATCAGGGTTCTGTGATGGGACATCCCTGTTCCTTTGGTTGTGGTCCTCTGTCTTTCATCTTGCCTTGACTACTTTTGTTTGCTGTTTGCTAGAAGGAAAACAAATTCTCCTGTAGGAATCAGGTAAGTAAGTGAAAGAAACGGATTGGTTGAGCTCAGAAGTTCTTTATCTTTTCTACTTTTTTCTCCTTTCTATTTATTTTTTCTATGAGCCTAGGTCTTTCTTCTCTTTGAACATGTTCTTTCTCCCTTTTGGGAGAAGAGCTGCCATGCTCTGCAGGCACCTCCTTTCTTTAGATAGTGTATTTTTCTCAGAATGAGATTGGATTTCTCTGGGGTTTACCATGGGATGCTTCTAGCCTAATGTCCCAAAATGTTTGATTTTCTAGGGTTTAAACATCAGTTAGAGCACCAAAAACACAGGGCAGTGGGGAGGATTTCATGTTACAAATAAATAGCAGAGATGTGAATAGACCTTCCTTCTGTCTCCTCTCTGATACTTCTTTTCCACTTTGCCATAGCTGTTTTTAATCTCGGAGCAATTCTACTCTACCTCTCCAGTGAGAAACCAATACGTATGACTTTGTTTCATTTATGGGGTTAGTACTGTGGTTTGTGATAATGGGTTTCACGTGCCATCTTGTGTTTCTCCAGATAGAATATAGTTTGTTACAGTTCATTACTAATATGTAATTATGTCTTTTTCTCTCCTATTTTCTCTTCTCTCTTTACCCTGTGGTTCTTGTGCAGGTCTTGTTCAGCGTTGTGTGATCATCCAGAAGGATGACAATGGATTTGGGCTGACGGTCAGTGGAGACAATCCAGTCTTCGTACAGTCTGTCAAAGAAGGCAAGGCATTTTTTAAAACGGTCTTGTCACTTGGGAGCAAACAGAGTAAGAAGAGAAAAGCTTCATGTCTATTGCCCAGAATAAAATAATCACATACATTGCAGGTCATATGGCCTGTTTTAGATTGGTGTTTAGTGTCCTAGTTATAGGCATGAATTCACCCCAATTGATTTTCTTTGTACGTACTAGAAAGAAAACAGTCTTATATAGTTTTAGAAACTATATACATCATCACTTAGAGAGGTTTGTGGAATTTTATTTCTTCATGGCACCAGAGATATTTGGTAGACCAGATTAAAAAAATGGTTATATGCTCCAAAACATCCACTTTCCCCAAAATGACAACAATATGTTCTATTACCATATATTGAATACTTTCTTTATGTTGGATGCTGTAATTTGAGGTAGGTATTTTTTACCCACATTTTACAGGTGATATTAAGGCTTAGAGTGAAAAAAAACATAATCCGTGGTCACACACTAGTGAGTGGCAGAGGCACATGTTTTTAACCATTTGGTTATTCTGCCAGTTGCATGCACTGAAAATTATCAGTGCATATACCTTACAGAAGAATTTTAAGTAATTAATTTCTCTTGCAGATGGAGCAGCCATGCGGGCTGGGGTACAGACAGGTGATCGAATCATCAAGGTAAGAGGAAAAGACTATTATGGAATTTATGGTAGATTTAAAAACAGCATATATTAACCATATTTTATTTTTTTCACTTGGATTTTTACAAAAAGCAGTACATTATATATGATATATTTGTTGACTGTAAAAAACATTTCATTTATTTTAAAATTAATACTACTTTTTACTGAAGGGCATAATAAAAGGTGTGAATAAATGGAGTCATGTGTGTTCTTAGATAGGAAAGTAACTCACTGTGATAAAGATCATTTCTCTCCAAACTAATCTGTTAGTAAGAAATTCTCATCAAGGGTATTAAAGAGGGCATGTTCTGCATGGAGCACCGGGTGTTATACACAAACAATGAATCATGGAACACTACATCAAAAACTAATGATGTAATGTATGGTGATTAACATAATAATAAAAAAAATTCTCATCAA